AGTTAACTAGAACAGCACAATGAGGGCAAATTCAGTTAACTAGGTCATTGAGCACATTCAGGCATTAACTAGTTTTGCCACCAAAGAATGCAAATCTTGCCACTTCATGCCACTGTTTGGCATACTTAATAGGCCAATCTTAAAGTTACATCAGTCTAGGCCTTTACAAAAAAAGGCAATTGCAACAGCCAGCTAATCAGGGAGCAGGTGCATTCAGATCTTCAGCAGGTGCATTGAGATCAGGTATTTGCCTCTGAATCTGATCTCCAAACAACAGCCACCATGCCCTCTCACCTGGAACACTTCCTCTTCCTGCAACTGGAGCAGCACCTCTTCCTCTGCCTGCATCTGGAGCAGCACCTCTTCCTCTACCTGCATTTGGAGCTGCACCTCTTCCTCTGCCTGGAGCTGGAGCTGCACCTCTTCCTCTGCCTGCAGCTGGAGCTGCACCTCTGCCTCTGCCTGTAGCTGAATCTGCTCCTGTTCCTCTGCCTGGAGGTGCATTTCTTTGTCTTTTATTTGCTCTTCCTTCTTCTCTTTGAGCTATTGTGTTTGCCCTTGTCTGTCTACCAATGAGCATCTCTGTGGTGATCACTGCCTGAGGTATTGCAACACCAGCAGCAACAACAAAGGCAGACTGTTGTGGTAATGGGCCATATGCCCTTTGAGGAGCTCTTGTAGAAATTTCCCTTTGAGCCATGGTGAAAACCATACTTGTTGGTGAATCAATTGGGTCCAATAGAGGGTCTACATTGTTTGGGAAAATGTTCTGCACAGATTCATTTAAGCACATTAAGTTCTACAATGACATAAATACAGTACAAATGCAGTACAATGACATATGTAGTTAAGTGCTTGCTATACCTGAAGAAAGGTAGGGTCATCATAGCTTTCATCAACCACCTCTATCCCATCTTGAATGAGACTTTCCTGCCATTTGTAGTGCCCCTTCCTGTTGTGATCAGCTCTGCCACAGATTGAGCAGTGCACTGTCACACCTTTTCTGTTCAGAACCCTAACACCATTCTTGATCTTCTCCTCTGGTGCTTTCTTCCTATTCTTCTTGGGTCTTCCCAATTGTTTAGTAAACACTGGTGGATGCACCTTGTACCCATTCTGTTTCTCCCAATGCTTTGGGTCTACAAGAGGAACAAGAGTGTACCCATATGCCTTGAGATATGTCTGAACTGTGTAGCAGTCATGAACCATTGTCTCTGGGTCAATCCTCTCCTCCCTGCAACATGCTATACAATGACCACATGGTACTCCTGACAACTGCCATCTTCTGCAATCACATGTGTGCAAAGCAAGATCCACTGTGTAACAATTGTTATCAGACTGTACTTTGAACAATTGTTGTCCAGCTTCAGATACATGGTAGTTTGCAGCAAACTCTGTATTCTTATCCAATTTTTTCTGAATCTTTGGGCATATTCTCTAGCCTACCCACTTTTCTATAGCTTCCCTTTATTTACTCACTAGCCTGTGCATGATCTTGTAGAAGATATATTCAAGCATACTAAGCACTGCCATCTCTCTGCCATCAAGAATGTAGCTGTTAAACACTTCAGAGTTGTTGTTAAGCAGGATGTCACATTTGGGAAAATCCCTGAAGAATGCCTTGCACCATGTGTTTGGCTCAAGCCTCTCAGTCCAGTGGAAGGCAGCTTGGCAGTGATCATCCATTTTCTGACAGTTCTCTCTCCATTTTACCTTGTTTGGTGATCTTGCAATAGCCCACAGATCTTGCTTCAATACCTCTCATTTGTGCTTCTCATTAAAATTTTGGTAAATATGCCTCACACAAAACCTGTGTTCTGCATCTGGCCAAACCTTGTGCACAGCATTTATTAACCCTTTCTGCTTGTCACTCATAATTGTGAAAGGAGCTGTGTTTGTAATATTTAGATCATCTTTTAGAGTGGTCAAAAACCACTCCCATGAACTTTTGCATTCTACTTCCACCCAGCCCATTGCAATGGGAAATATGCAGTCATTAGGGTCAATTCCAACAGCACTAAGGAGCACTCCTTTAAACCTTGTTTTCATATGACAACCATCAATAAAGAGAATAGGCCTGCAGCCCTTTAGCCATCCTCTCTTACAAGCATCATATGACCAATATAATGTTTTCAAACATTTTCTGCCCATTGGAAATTTTGTATCTTTGACAAGTGTAGTTGTTAGCAGAAATGTAGACCCAGGGTTTTTGCTCCTTAGCTCATGCCCATAATCCCATAGCCTGCTGAACTGCTCTTCCTCATCACCATGTATCTCCTTAAGTGCTTGCTTCCTAGCCCTAGCAAGCTTCCATCTATTAGGAGTAATATTGAATTCCTCTGTTATTTTCCTTGAAAATGTTCCAATGCACATCTTCTGGTCATCTCTGAACTCATTAATGAAAAAGTTGCATAGGAATTTTGCTGTCATATCCTTTAACTTCCACTTCTTCTAGCACTTATGCAATCCATTATATGCCTTGATGACAAAACCTCCAGTCCTGTTGTCATTTCCAGCCCTAAGCACCCATGGGCAACCACCACCCTGACAAACTGCCTCCAATCTGATCTTGTCATTCTTAAGCTTCTTGATCTGCACTCTGTTCCTTATTGAATAGGCGTTGAGAGCTTTCCTCAACTCAACCACATCAACAAATACCATACCTAGTTTAAAAACAGGGGATTTCATGTCCACCTTGGAATTGAAAGCTCTGAATTTGTACTTCAGTTGATCTTGTGCTTGTGTGGAGAGGTTGAGATCTTCATCTTCAAGGACATAGTCAGGCTTAACCTCTACCTCCTCTTGCTCAGCCTCTTCATCAACATCAAAGTCAATGTTTTCTTCATAAAGATCATCATCTCCATCATCTATTTCATAATCACTGTCACTCAAATCTGAATCTGACAGCACATCATTTTCAGGTTGCAAATTTGGATCTGCAGCAGCAACAATCACATTTGTCTCTGCAGCATTAACCTGGTCTGGCTGTGCACAATTAAGGAGGTCTTGCTCTGCACTTATAAACAGGTCAGGCTCTACACAGTATGTCAGCAAATTTGGGTCAGCAACAGAATTAAGCAAATCTGTCAGAACATCATCTTCTGCTGTCCCATCAACTGCAACCTCTGAAATTGGATCTTCAACATTCACTGAAATAATGCTCTGACCACATGATGCACTGCTTGCACCAACAATTGAGTTGCCCATTCTGACAGGGTTTACAACAGATGGCGGCTTTATTATCAAATCTTCTCTGAAATTGCAGATGAAGTCTGCATGGTCAACCATAATTGCAAGAACTTTGTGCTGAGCACTAACTATGATAAGATGCTGCAAATCCTCATCACCCTTAATTCTCACCAAGCCATCTGAAAGTGTTTTCTCAGGTAAACACCAGTAAATAATGTGCTCATTGGCAGGATATCCCAACCATTTTAGGTATTCTTCTAAGACTGCATATGAAAATGTGCAAGCATCAACATAGTCAAGGAGCTCCAAAGAAGAGTTATAATACTCTGGGGCAGTGATAGATCCACAGAAAAGACCACCATGTTCCAGCTCAAGTGTAAAGAAAGGAGTGTGAACACTCTTTCCCATTGCTGAGTCACACACTGCATACCAAAAAGAGAGATATTCAGTTAAAATTCAGTTAACTGAACATAAACTGCCCAAGTTCAGTTAAAAATACAGTTAACTTAATTGAACATGTACTGCATACAAAAAGTAGATACATTCAGTGCAAAATTCAATTAACTTTAAATAAACTGCACAAAGTCAGTTAAAAATTCAGTAATAGTTAACTGAACATGTACTGCATGCAAAACAAATTCAGATAAATTACACATTCAGATTTATTATATCTACTTCACCAAAACCATAGCATGGTAACCCAATGTACAGTACAGAACACAACATGTCAATCTCACACAAGAAGTAGAACATAGCTCATAACCCTAGCTTCATGCAAAAACCACACCTTCTTCACCAAACCCATAACGACGAAGAGTAAACCCTAGACTAAATGCATCGCTCATAACCCCAAGCGCACTTGATAGGATTGCCGCTTGGCTAGATCGAAGCAACTAACAAGCTTGAATCAGCTTCCCCAAGCGCACGGATCCGCCGTACGAGGCCGTACTGTGGCCGGCACAATCAAGAAACGGAACAGAGAGAGAAGATGCAATTCGGAGGAGCTCACCATAGTCTGGAGGAATGACTGCAGGCGGCCGGACCAGATGAGCCGACGGAGGCTGCACATCTTCGCGGAACTGCTCCGGCGAGGCAGCCATTGTTGCTGACGTCAGCAACGGCCGCTCCAGCGCCGACAGAGACAAGGATGGAGAAGAATGAGTTGCGATAGGCCACAGGAGTTCCCCCTTTGATAGATTAAATGCGGTTAATAAATTCAGGTGCTCTGGTGCTGGTAGTGCGGGTTGATTGAGAGCAACTCCAGGGGGTTATTTGCAAAACAGCACGGGCTGACCAGGTGCGCACCCACGAGTCCACATGGCGCTCTCTGATTCGCCGGGCTAGTTTTGCACATCTTGAGCAAGTTCAGGGACTGGGTAGGGTTATTTTTCAAGTTGTAGGACTAAATTATCACATTGAGAGCAAGTTGTAGGACTCCTAGTGCTTTTAACTCTTTGAAAAGAAAGGTTCGCCTCCCAAGAAAAACGGACGACTGCTTGGTATGAGCAGTTTGCTATCTCAAGAAACAATAAACATATCTCGAGTCACGGTCTCAGCCGGACGCGTCCCATCTCTCCCCGATTCCATTCCCATCTCTCTCCGCCAGATCTGGATCGACATTTCTTCTCCGTCTCGTCTCTCTCGCCGGCGATCGGAGCAGGACTACCGACTTTCTGCAGGTGCGAGGAAGCTCTTTTTACCAAATATGGTATGTTTTCCGTCTGTGCACTGGGGACTCACTCCACGCTTGCGATGACGTAGCTCAGTTGTGGCGGAAGCACACTTGCTTCCAAGAAGCAAGAGCAGAGGCCATGGCGGACGCCGGAGAGGCCACCGCGACCGCGCGGTCTTCTTCGCCGCTCCACGTCGTGGTGTTCCCGTGGCTCGCCTTCGGCCACATCATCCCCTACATGGAGCTCTCGGAGCAGCTGGCGCGGCGCGGGCACGCCGTCACCTTCGTCTCCGCGCCGAGGAACCTCGCCCGGCTGAGGCCCGTCCCCGACGACCTCCGCGCCCGCATCCGCCTCCTCCCCCTGCCAATGCCGACCGTCGCCGGCCTCCCGGACGGCGCCGAGTCCACGGCCGACGTCCCGCCCGAGAAGGGCGACCTCCTCAAGGCCGCGTTCGACGGCTTTGCCGCCCCTTTCGCCGGCTTTCTCGCGGGAGCCTGCGCCGGCGACTGCGGGGATGGTGAGGGTACGACGGGGTTCGGCAAGAAGCCCGACTGGATCTTCGTTGACTTCGCGCACCACTGGCTCCCGCCCATAGCCGAGCAGCACAAGGTACGTCTCTGCCATGGCGAGTAGGTAGTACGTCCGGTCATGGCATGGCTCCATCTAACGCTCCATGCTGCGTGCAGGTACCGTGCGCGCTCTTCTCCATCTTCCCGGCGGTGTTCATCGCCTTCGCCGGCACCAAGGCGGCGAACGAGGCGCGCCCGAGGGTGACGGCGGAGGACCTGGCGGCCCAGCCGCCGTGGATCCCGTTCCCGACCCCGATCGCCCACCGCCTCTACGAGGCCGAGCAGATGGTCTACGTTTTCCGCCCCAACGCCTCTGGCGTATGCGACGCCTTCCGCTTCTGGGAGACGGAGCGGCAATGCCCGCTCTTCATCCTGCGCAGCTGCCGCGAGGTCGACGGCGCGCTCTGCCCCCTCATCGCCGACCTCTATGGCAAGCCCCTCGCCCTTTCCGGCCTCCTCGCTCCTTACGACGCCGCGCGAGCCGCCCAAGAAGCCGGCGGCGAGGACCACGACGAGGACGAGGAGACCGCGAGCCTCATGCGCTGGCTGGACGAGCAGCCGGCGAGGTCGGTGCTCTACGTCGCGTTCGGGAGCGAGGCGCCGCTGACCCCGGACAACGTCCGGGAGCTGGCGGCCGGGCTGGAGCTGTCCGGCGCGCGGTTCCTCTGGGCGCTGCGAGAAGCCAGCGCTCCCCTGCTCCCCGGCGACGGGTTCCAGGAGCGCGTGGGTGGGCGCGGCGTCGTGCGCGCCGGGTGGGTGCCGCAGGTGCGCGTGCTGGCGCACAGCGCGGTGGGCGCGTTCCTGACGCACGCCGGGTGGAGCTCGCTCATGGAGAGCTTCCTGTTCGGGCACCCGCTGGTGATGCTCCCGCTGTTCGCCGACCAGGGCCTCACGGCGCGCGTCATGGCGGCGAGGGGGGTCGGGCTGGAGGTGCCCAGGGACGAGCGCGACGGCTCGTTCGGCCGGGCCGACCTCGCCAGCACGGTGCGGCGGGTGATGGCGCGGGAGGACGAGGAAGGGAAGGCGCTCGCGCGCAACGCCAGGGAGTTCCAGGAGATGCTCTGCGACCGGGCCAAGCAGGAGGAGTACGTGGACGAGCTCGTGGAGCACCTGCGGCGACTGCCATAGGGTGCAGTTCTGTTCAGCCTCTAGGATGCACTGGCGCTCGTGTCTTCAAATATTTGCAACCAATATCATAGTTTTTTTTTGCGCTGGAACCAATATCATAGTTGCAAATTTGCGGGGGTTCACCCATTGTCGCCGTCAAACTCCATTGATTCCGGCCGTGCTTTGCGGGGGTTCACCCATTGTCGCCGTCAAACTCCATTGTGTCGAGGATGCCATCATGCCCTACCGCGACATCCGCTTCGGTCGTCACGTCACTACGCCGTCGAGATCACGTGCAAGGGCAAGCGGAAGTGTTGGTATTTTCAGAGATGTCAGAGCTCACCGCGTGCGCGTACTGACACGATAGCATGGAGGTACGACCGACCCTTCCAAGCTCAACTTAGGCAACCCCTGGCCAATGTACAACGCACTGCCGAGGCTAGGTATGCTTTATACATCCAGAAGCTCACCGAGGCCAATTTGGACCTCATGGCGGCGGAGCCCTTCACCGAGAAAGACTAGGAGCGCATGAGGAAGGAAGACGAGAATCGCAAGAGGAAGACAAGAATCACCTCTCAGTATCAGCGCCAAGGTTCAACATGTTTTTTTTTCATTTTGGATTTTAGAACATACTATACGTCAAACGCAATCTGCTAAATTAATTATTTGATCTAAACTTCGCCTACTAGTATTTATAATGGACGATGATAACTGTCACACGTGTGAGCGTTAACAGATCTGGTCACATGTTTTGTGTGGTGTCTAAGAGGACCAGCCCACACGCCAACGTGTGGGCAAGAAAAGTAATGTTCACACGCCTTTTTTTCCCTCGCGGTCCCTCTCACACGCCTACGTGTGGGCAAAATAGATAACACTCACACGACCTCTCTCAGCCACCTACCTCACGGTCCCGCACGCCCCGCATGACAGTCACCACGCGTCCCCGCAGTTGCCATGATCCGAACCCTCTTTAATGTCCGTTTAATTGCAGTTGCCATGTTGCTGTACTACAGTTGTCATGTCTGACAACTACGTTTGCCATGGTTGCTCAACTGCAGTTGTCATCTCAGGTCAAGTGTGAGATGCCATTTTTTGGACAACTGCAGTTGTTGCCATGTATGGTCTGGTTACTACAGTTGCCATGATTTGAAAACTTTAGGAGTTGCCACCTACTAACACTAGGCAGTTGCCATGTATGGTCTGGTTTACTACAGTTGTCATGATTTGAAAACTTTAGGAGTTGCCACCTATTAACACTAGGTAGTTGTCGTGTAGCGTTACAAAAAGACATGGCAAAATAACATGTTCGGGTAAAGAGAGAGTTGTCATTTGCTTACGAACACGCTAGGGCAGTTGCCATGTACCCTGCAAAACACATGACAACTGACATGTTCGGGTAAAAGAGAGTTGTCATCTACTTACAAGCACACTAGGGCAATTGCCATGTACCCTGCAAAACACATGGCAAGTGATAGCTTTGGATGTGGGAGAGGAGACGGACGTGTAGGCGAACGAGTAAATGCCCACACACCAACCCTTGTACGTGAGTGAAAATTGACGTGTGAGCGAACTACTAAACGCTCACACCCGGCCCCTCTGTGTGGTGAAACGGATGTGTGGGCGACCGGGTGAATGCCCACACACCAGCCCGGTCCTACGTGACACCATAAACATGCCAAGATTCGTGCACCCACAAACGGACGCGGATCTCCACATGTGGGTAAGATGCAAACGCCTACACGTGTGGGCATTAGTATTTCCGTTTATAATACTTCAGGGTAAAATTTAATTCTCTCAGTTCCTCGGCAATCACGCAAAAACTCGAGTTCCTTTTGGATTGCCTTTATGATCAGTTATAACCACAACATTGTCTCATAGCAGATTATTATACCATCTTCATAGATTTGTTCAACTAGCGTACCAGCAAAAACTCGAGTTCCTTTTGAATTGCCTTTATGATCAGTTATAACCGCAACATTGTCTCATAGCGGATTATTATACCATCTTCATAGATTTGTTTAACTAGCGTCTACCAGCAATGAACACAAGGCAGGCCCCTAGAAGGGCGATCTACACCAACTCACTACAACTTCGACGGGTATGATGTTGAACATTTTGTATTAGAGTTTAAAATTTCAAAATATGCAATGAACCATGCTTAAGTTCGCTTTTACATTTGGGGATGCTCTATGAGACTATGATCTTCAAAGAAAAATCATTGCTCTATGAGACTAAAACGATTATAACACAAGCTATGTTTTTCCTATTCCAGGGTTTTCAAAATCCTGTAACCAGAGGCCCAGCGAAAAGAAATCATATTGTACCGATAAATAGAACTTACATTTCAAAAACAGGACACCAAACGAAATTGGCACAATGTAACACAGAACAAGATTTCGTTTATGTAAAAATTGAAAGAATGCCCTGCTCTAAACCTTTACCAACTGGTAGCTACAATTAGTTTGACTTCTACTTTGAAAAAACAAAGCACAATCATAACGGCGCTACCCCTACAAATCTAGTCAAAGATCAAAATCTGGCCTCATTCCCAATCAATGACAGGCTTATACAAAGTATATATGTCATCACAGATAAACAACACAGATGATACATATTCATGCTTGGAGCAGGCATCCAACTAACGACGGCAGCGAGCTGCGGACTGCTTATGCGCCCGAAGCGGCAGCATACACCATGTTGCCATTGGCATTGCCACCGCGCCCTCTGCCCCGAGCTGGGCCGCCTCTCCCACGGCCACGGCCTCTACCACGACCTGCAACACAACACAGATGCAGCGGTTTATTATTAAAAAGGGACATAGATGCATACAACCAATTTGGTAGAAGGAAGCTGTCTCGACCTCCAGCTGGTGCAGGAAAAGGAGCCTCCTCATAATAACCTCCGTCTTGCTGATAATCAGGCTGGCCACCACCATAGCCGCCTCTCCTGCCACGACCCCTGAAACCACGGCCCCCACCTCGGGGTGGCGCTGGTGCCTCATCATAATACCCTCCATCATGCTGATAATCAGGCTGACCACCATAGCCACCTCTCCTGCCACGGCCCCTGAAACCACGGCCTCTACCACGAGCATACCCATTACCCTCATAAGCTGGACCATGGTCAGCATACCCATTGCCTGCATAGGCAGGAGCATGCTCATTTTCCCATCCACCATCAGCATACTCCATGTATCCATTCCCTGAAAAGTAATTTATGTAATGATGAACAGCTGCACATTTTTATACTCTGAAGATGATGATTTACTAAGTAGCAAATCAGCCCCACCACGTGCACCTCTACCCCTTCCCATTCCCCTTCCACGGCCTCGGCCACGGCCTCTTCCTCGCCCAGGAGGTGAGTGCGCATCTACAATTACAGTGAAATAAGAAAGCAGACAGAATAAGAGATGATAAGGACAACAAAGTGAAACATGCCCAATACCTTCTTCATTCTCATATTCAACAAACGGCTTCACCTTGTCAGCAGGCAGAGGAGATTGATATCTGCACATACAATTAACTCAACCTATCATTTCATGCAGAAGAATAATCCAATTTGCAATGTTACAACATATTCTTCCAGATAGCTAATAGTTGTGCCAAAAACTATAACAAGAATTGCATAATTGAATAACTAGCAATTCATGAGACAGCTGAATAAGGTAGCCTGAAAATTCCCAAATAAATATTCCAACGTAACCAAGTAGCCCACAAAACACAGGGATGATTGCTTAGTCTAAAATTAAAATACTTTTCCTAGTATCAGATATACAGCTAGCAAAGCATACCCGACAGATGACGTGTCCAGCTCCTTCTTTGAAAGAGTTATAGTAATCATAGACACATGCCTTGTTGTCTCAAGCCTGCAGGGAGAAAAGATTGTATGTCATCACAAGAGCACAGCTGAGACATCTGAAAGTAAGTTAAAAATATCTAGCAACTACTACAAGTAGTAGCTTTATATGCTAAGATGTTTAGAGTCGATTCTTACGGAAGTAGGCCTTCCTCCAGTGGCTCCCATGTGTCAGTAATATCAGTGGATTCAGTGGCAGTGTTTTGATGGAGACCCACAATTCTCCTCTGTGCAACAAAAAAGCAATAAACAATTTATTTAGAATAAATTTGAATGCATAGTTTCCATGCACAGCCGCCGTCAAAAGTACCTTGATCAATTCTGCAATCATCACAGTTTTGTTTATGGCCCTTCCCATCGCCTTGAATACAACTTCATCGCAACCCTTATCCTGTATGTATATATGGCAAAGCATCAGCCACAGAACATAAAAACAAAACTGCATGCAATGCACACTTGCGTTTTTATCGAAAACCCATAAATAAAGCCATCAAAGGAAACTCATAAATCACATCAGGAGAAATCATCAAAACATGGATGTGACTAACGGTCGCCATCAATTATTAGAGAATATATCAAGTAGCCGTGCACCACACTCATCATCAACTAAAGTGGTTACTGGCCGTACAAAAAGTGGCAACCGGGCACATTAGCGGCCCAACATGATCTCAGATTCTTCAGTGTTTTAAAGTGACAAATCACACCCCATGGGAGTACAACATCTATCTGTACGATTGGGACTTATCCAAAAACTTTGCCTAATTCGCCACAAGCGTTTTCAGCTTTGGCAACCACACAGTAAAAGTCATCGCCCTACAGTGCTAGGGGCATTTACTTTTTAACATCACAAGTAATATACGAAAACAGAACCAATCCTACCAAACAAGGCATCAGAGTAAGAGGATAACAATTTCCTCCTATCCTCGAATCAATAGTTCGCATTGAAAGCACACGCTTAGCGGACAGCAATCCGTACGGCCCAATCATTCATTCGGCTAACTTTCGAGACACATCCCTAAACTAAACCCCACTGCTTATCGCCTACACAACCGGGCGCTTAAACCGGCGATTCAAAGGGGCTGAAGGCGTCGGCGGTACCTGGAAGAGGGTGGTGGCGTAGGTGATGTAGTTGCGCATCCTGCCCTGGGTGGTGATGCGGATCTCGTTCTCCTTGATGGGCACCTCCTCCCGCGGCTTCTCCACCCTCTGGTACCGATCCATGGCTCCCTCCCGCTGGCTCGTCTGCAACGCCGCAATGCGCGACGGAACCAACCGCCGTCTCAGATCCACGCAACACAAACGCGGCGGCGGCGAGCGGGTAGGGAGAGAGAGGCCGTACCTGCCTGCGCGGCGGCGGCGGTTGCGGGGCGTCGGCTGCTGCTCCGGTCCGGTGGTTTGGGTTGGGCTGGCTGGCGGCTTGTCCTGGCGACGATGCGGTAACCGCCGGGTGGGGGTGGGAGTGAGGGCTTTTATATGGCCGCCTCCGTCCGGGCCGGGAAGGCGGGACCGGGTCGGACTCGCCCTCGCCCCCGCGCGCGCCTCTAGGGTTTTGCGGGCGCAAGTTACGGAACTGCCCTTCCAGGTTCCGGGGTTTTGCGGCTCTGGGACGGACGGATCCTCGCGGACGGTGACTCGTGTACGGCTCGGATTTCTCCGCTGCGGCGCAGGCTTGGACAAGGAAGGGCTTTCCAAGGGCGCCAACCAACGCGACGGTTACGTTGCGGCCTGATGGGCCTTTACTGGGTTTTCGACCCAACAGAAGAAACTGCAAGTTATTTTCTCACAAGTATTTTTTCTTCTTATATTCTTATATATAATATAGTTGGTTAAACTTTACGAAGTTTGACTTCAGACAAATCTTATATGCATGCAGATTAAAAAGGACCGGGCTAGAGGGAGTAATTTTTTCGTCTCAAGAAAATCATTTTTGGGAAAGATAGTTTTCATTTTGTGTGTGACTTTGCTGATTTGTTTTGTTATGTAGAAAAAAACTTTATGGTCATATAGTAACTTGAATAACCAATTACTAACCCTATTTTGATAATGATCGGTCAATGTGAGCTCTATCTCTCCTCTTCTCTTCCTATAGTACTACATTGATTTCACTTCTTGATTAGGTTTGAAGATTCTTCATATGTGTCTTTGCCTGTCGTGGAAAGAACGGTCGGTGTCGCGGAATATTCAGATTCTCATTGCCATTGTTGTCGGCTCGAGCATCACTGCCAACCCTTCCATACAGGTAGAGAGCTCAAAATGCGAGTGCTTTATTTGCGAAATAAATTCTCGCATTACTCGGAATAAAGTATTACAATCTCGTCCCACAAGTTTCAAGAACTCTTGTGGGCCAAAGTCTAGCCAAACCATAGTCGGCGTTGCACCCTACCAAAATTAGCCAAGGCATGACTAACATTATTACACAACTCCGACAAATATGATCAATGCAAGAACTCCTCTGCTCCATACTACTAATAATATCTCTAATAATAAAAGCATACTTAGACTTATTCCTAATAACTCCCTTGATCATCATTACAGCCTCCGAGCAAACAGATTCCACATCAATGTGTAGATTACTCCATTGTAATGCCAACGAAATTCCTTCCTTTAATGCGAGAAGCTCATCTTCCAAAACATCATAGCGTGATTGTATGTATCTGCAAGAGCTAAATATTATGGATCCTTCGTGACTGCACATGCAACATCTCCTAAGACCGAGGCATCGGTGTTTAGCTTGACTTTGCCCTCTATCGGTCCAGTCCAAGAACAAATAACACCACATTCCTTTATATTGCATGTGGGCTGCTTATGCATTTGATTGAAAAATAACTACCACCTTCCCTTTTATTGGATCCATATTTGAATTAGACCAAAGCGATATTAAGGAAGACAAATAACTAGCCAAGAATCTGAAAGAAACGTCCGCTGGAGGTGGTTTTTTAGAGTGTACTATGTCATTTCACACATACCAAATCCTCCAAGATAGCATCATAATACGAACTCGTTCATCATCCTGCAACTCAGATAAAAGATGTAGAAACCAGTCACGGCCGATCGGTTTTACATGTGAACGTACCTGTAGAGTCCATTCCTTTGCCATTGCCTTCCACAAAAGCACGGCATGGTTGCAGGTATAGAAAACATGGAACGAGTCTTCCTCTTCACTTCCACATACAGGACACACTGCAGTGATCTCTAGATTTCTCTTAACCTTATTTGTCCAATTAGCTAGTGAATCAGTGACCAACCTCCAAGCAAAAGATTGAACTTTTGGGGGAGCTAAACTGCGCCATATAAAGTTCCACCCGCACGAGTTCCAGTAGGTCGGGAGCTTGCCGAAGACTCCCTAGCATTTGATATTTCATCACTAGTTAATCTGCACGCACTTCTGATCGTGAGCACACCCTTTTTTCGGCGCCCAAGCAACAAAGTCATCATCAAGCCGTGTAGACAATCATACCTTATGAATTTCAACTATATCCAGCGGAAGAAATATTGATTGATTTTTTCCAAATCCCAATTTCCGCGGTGGTTTATGAGCTTTGAGACCCACTTTAGCGGGCACCTCCCTTTAGGAGTGATTAATCCTCCAGTTGGCTCACGTGCAATCCAAAGGTGTAGGATCGAAAGTATGTCTAGAGGGGGGGATTAGACTACTTGACCAAATAAAAACTTAACCTTTTCCCAATTTTAGTTCTTGGCGGATTTTAGCTATTTTAGGACAAGTCAAGCAATCATCACACAATTCAAGCAAGCATGCAAAGAGTATATTGGCAGCGGAAAGTAAAACATGCAACTTGCAAGGATGTAAAGGAAAGGGTTTGGAGAATTCAAACGCAATTGAAGACACGGATGTTTTTCCCGTGGTTCGGATAGGTGGTGCTATCCTACATCCACGTTGATGGAGACTTCAACCCACAAAGGGTAACGGTTGCGCGAGTCCACGGAGGGCTCCACCCACGAAGGGTCCACGAAGAAGCAACCTTGTCTATCCCACCATGGCCATCGCCCACGAAGGACTTGCCTCACTAGCGGTAGATCTTCACGAAGTAGGCGATCTCCTTGCCCTTACAAACTACTTGGTTCAACTCCACAATCTTGTCGGAGGCTCCCAAGTGACACCTAGCCAATCTAGGAGACACCACTCTCCAAGAAGTAACAAATGGTGTGTTGATGATGAACTCCTTGCTCTTGTGCTTCAAATGATAGTCTCCCCAACACTCAACTCTCTCTCACAGGATTTGGATTTGGTGGAAAGAAGATTTGAGTGGAAAGCAACTTGGGGAAGGCTAGAGATCAAGATTCATATGGTAGGAATGGAATATCTTGGCCTCAACACATGAGTAGGTGGTTCTCTCTCAGAACATATGAGTTGGAAGTGTAGATGTGTTCTGATGGCTCTCTCCACGAGTGGAGAGGAGGTGGAGGGGTATATATAGCCTCCACACAAAATCCAACTGTTACACACAATTTACCAATCTCGGTGGGACCGAATCAACAAACTCGGTCGGACCGAAATAGTAAACCTATTGACCGTTAGAGATTTTCGGTGGGACTGACATGCAACTCGGTAGGACCGATATGGTTAGGGTTAGGGCATAACGTAATCTCGGTGAGACCGATTACACAAACTCGGTGAGACCGATTTTGGTAATAAGCTAACTAGAGAGTTGGTCAGGTAAACTCGGTGGGACCGATTCGCTCTTCTCGGTGAGACCGAAATGTTACGAAAAGGAAACAGTGAGTTTACATTGCAATCTCGGTGGGACCGATCCGCTCTTTCGGTGAGACCGAAAAGTTACGAAAACAAAACAGAGAAATTGCAATCCCATCTCGGTGAGACCGAGATCCCTATCGGTAGAACCGATTTGCTTAGGGTTTGGCAATGGCTATGACAAGTGAAACTCGGTGGCGCCGGGTTGAAAGAATCGGTAGGGCCGAGTTTGGATTTGGGTTTAGGTCAAATGTGGATATGGGAAAGTAGCTGAGGATTTTGGAGCATATCATTAAGCACATGAAGCAAGAGGCTCATTAAGCAACACCTCATCCCTCCTTGATAGTATTGGCTTTTCCTATGGACTCAATGTGATCTTGGACCACTAAAATGTAAAATGAAGAGTCTTGAGCATATGAGTTAGAGCCAATCCTTTGTCCTTAGCATTTTGAGGGTTCCACTTTCACCATCCATGCCATGCCAATCATTGAGCTTTCCTGAAATGATCATCTTGGAATAGCATTAGCTCAATGAGCTATATGTTGTTATGAATTACCAAAACCACCTAGGGATAGTTGCACTTTCAATCTCCCCCTTTTTGGTAATTGATGACAACATATAGATCAAAGCTTCGACAAATAATAATAAGAATGAAATATATCCTTACTTTGAGAAGTATGTGATAAGTAAGAGCTCCCCCTAAATTTGTGCATATTTAAAATTTGCTTTGGACTGCAAATGCACAAAGAGTTAGAGTCATGGGTTACTCTTCCATGTCACATACATCTTTGTGGAGCGCTCAAAAAGATAAGAATGAAATACATGCACTCATCACCAAAGAAAGTGAATGATCACATAAGATAGATAAGATATATCAAGCATGCATAAGTGTAGCTTATGATCAAACACATGATCATCAATGTCTCACAAGCATATCAAAGTATCTCAACCAAAAGCAAACAACGTTGAAAAACTACCAAATAAAGCAAGAGAGAATAAAAGCAACACACTCTCTCTCTCGAAGCCTATGATCTATACATTTTTCTCCCCCTTTGGCAACAAGTTACCAAAAAGTTCCTGGAAAATGCATAGTGCTAGATCGACTCTCAGGCTTGATCTTCTGGTGGTGGAGTCTGGATCACTCCAAGGACGAAGGTTTCTATAGATGTGGTTGGAGTTGGAGCTGAAGTAGATGCTGGAGCTGGTTGGGCTGGTGCTGTGGCTGGAGCTGAGGTGGTGGCTCTGGTGTCAGGAACTGGCACTGCAGTCGACCTCTGAGCTCGTGGCACTCTGGCAAATGCATCAGTTGTAGTCTTGCCCTTCCTCTCCTGCATATCATCCTGTAATTGTTCCACTGCAGACTGAATTTCTGTCACCTTCACATCTAGGTCATAGAACTTTTGTTCCATGATTCTTTCTAGGCTCTCTTGGTTTCGAGTCAGGGTGGCCAATCCTTTCTCAATCCTTAGAGTTGATGCTATTAGGTAACCGAGCTGCTCCTGCTTGTTCT